CTTAGGTTCGTTAAGGCTACCTCCCTTATTTTTACTTTAAGGGCTCGTTTTCATAAACCGTAAAATAAATATAAATATTACGTAATTCGATTATAATTAATATAAATATAAAATAAATAAATTCGTATACTTATCGCGAGAAATAAATAAAATAAAAAAATAAAAAAAAAAGTCTTTTAAAATTAAAAAAGGTATAAAAAAAATTTTTTTTTTAATAGTTAGCGGTTAATTTAAGCGGTTCCGTTAATAGACCGTTTAAAAGCGTTATTAACGTAATAGACGCCTCTTTTTTAATAAAAGTCTAGAAGATCGGAAATCTTTTATTCTGTACGGCGTTAAAAGGTCGTTTCTTTTAATCTTTATAAAAAGTTAAAATAGTACGATTCCTTTATCCCGTATAGTATTAAAAGGTTACTTTTTCTATTTTTTAATAGCCTTATTAATCTACGATAATAGTTAAACTATTAATTAGTATTAGTTTACGTAATTATAGGGTGATTTGTTCGATTGAACCGTGGTAACGAAGGGTCAATTACTCTTATATTAATCTCTACGTGAAGTGGAAAAGAGAGGTTCCACCCGTTAGTTAGATCGCTGGTTAAACGCTGATATAGAGACCCTTAGATGGCCCCTGCGCTGGCGCTGACTTGAGGTCGAATTGGGCTTCCAATCCGACAATCACCGATGTTGGAGTCAGCAAGGTGTACTGGCGAGGCGCAAAAACCAATTACGATCAAAGCACATATTCGTTCCTCTCTCTTGAGCAGCTGGAGCATCAAGAGAGTAGCCTCAAGGCTGACATTTGGCAGCTTGGTTGTTGCTTCGCCATGCTCCTGGCTCTGATACGGGGCGGTCGAGACGGTGTGATGAAGCTGCATGTCAGCTACCAAAGAACGGATGAAAAGTGCTCGTGCAATATCGCGAGAGAGTCAGAATGGTTCATGAGGGCACTTGATGAACTCTGTTCCTCCGGCTCTGCTAAACAGCAGCACATGCATTGGATTACTAGGCACATGCTTGATTTGGATCCTTCATCGCGATTTGACGTACAAAAGGTGAGGCAGGAGTTGGGGAAATTGTTGGAAATGTTCGAGTCAGAAAAGAAACAATCATGCTAAACATGGGCGTATATTTCCGTGTTTGTCCCTGGTTTTCGTAGTTTTAGCAAAGATTGGGCCGCAAATTTTCATTCCTGTCTGGCGTCAAATAGTATGACCAAGAGTAATAGCCCACGGGAGGCGTCATTGGCAATTTTTCCCTGGATGTCACCGACTCTCAAAGCTGGGACAGCCCAAGACTTAGATACCTACATTGTAACTGCTGGCTGGCGAAGGCCCCCGAGATTGAGAAAGAATTTGAAAGGCGCTTCGATCTGAGCAGCACACATACATTTAGCCACTCAAAAGCCTGGAGTTTGAAACCTAAGAATCAGCTTCTGTTCGAAATGTTGATATCTATGCTGTTTCTTTACGCAACATGAAAATACATACAAAGACGGATTCTTTCATCCATCATAGAAATTATGTCACTATCTGTATCAATACAAGGGCCTGAACTTGCCTAGATGTCTCGACATACCCTTTCGGCCACTAGAATAATCACAACATCACAACGAAGAAGTCATGTTGTGAGTAGGATTCAAGAGCGAAGACCGACTTTGAGCATCCTAAGGATCAAAGCCATCCCGTAACTATCACATTTATCCGAGTCTTCTCTCGATCCAAGTCAGCTGAAACGGACATTTTTGAACACAAGATCACCTTACTTAATCAAGGCCCTGCGAGAAGTGATCAGTTTCCCCTCTTCAATCGGTTTCATTACGTCCACAAGAATACGCTCACGAAAGATGCCGCCTGGTGCCTTCTACGCCGTGATGCCAAAAAGAGCCTGAAACACATGCCTTTTCGTTTAATAGAAGTTGCCTACTCAAATGAATCTATGCTGGCAATTGGAAATTCCGCAAGGAATCACAATATGCAATTCCATTGTCAGAACCAAACATACTAATCACGGACCGAAATCGAGAAACCTCTAGCCATCCTATCCGTGCGAAACACGCGAACAGCTTTACCAAAAGGTCTGCAGAATTGTAAACCTAGGTTCGTTCGAAGGTATGAAGCTGCTGTATGAGGACGAGGACTACGAGCAATAATGGCTGCGTTTCAAAATAGGAGTTGAGAGGACGATGGAACGAGTCAGGCTCCCTGTCGGTATTGGTGCTGGGCACACTTCATCGTCGACTCAAGAACCACGAACCTTCATCCGCACAAGATTGATAGAAAGAAATGATTAATTTTACAGTAGAAATCGCACAGTTTGTAGGGGGAAAAATGGCATATGAACTCACAACGTCCATCCTCGTCTTCAAAGGCGCCACCAACTCAGGACGACACCCAGCAGCGCCTCATCGAGACGCAATCCCTTCTAGCACAGAAAACAGCTCACCTGCCCCGTGAGGTGGATTTGCCAAGAGTCAAAATCGTATTCAGCGACATTACACCCCAGGCAACATCCAATAACATCCCCAAGACACCCAGTCAGAATGTGCGGGACTACCGGCCGGGGTAGCATCGATGACCCAGCCAACAGCCGACACTAGCTCCGTTGGGCAGCTCCTCAAGTTCGCGCGGGCTTGGCGATCATGATAAGCTTAAATGCTCCTGCCGCATGCTCTCCATCCCCCGAGAGACTGAACGACGTTTGTGGGCTCTAAAGTAACGGGCTTCCTTTTTCTGTTTATTCATCGTATTGCGTGCCACGACGGCGAAAGCCGTTGGCGTAGTGAGATGCCTGTTTGGGGTGACGGGTCCTGCCGCCCTCCAGGCTGATCCTCCACATCCCGCAGTCGATGGGCGGGAGGCCGTATGTGCTTCGCTGCTTCTTAGGTCCATGGCGAGTGTATTTAAAGGGGCTTCTCTCTGGGCTTTTAGCCAACGAGATCTCTTGCTCCCTTCTTTGCACCTGCACCATCCATCTACGGACGCCGCCCAATAACAGGACAATCTGAACGATGCATCTCCACGCGGCTCTCGCGATCCTCGCGGCCTCCAGGGTTGCCCTGGCTGCGCCTGCTACGGACGAGATCCAGATTGACCCTGCGCTCCGTCTGATCAAGACGTCTGAAGCTGACGTCGGTACTTGGGTCACGGAAGAGCAGAAGATTGAGGAGTATGTCAACAAGCACATTGGCTTCATTGACATCACCGACATTGCTGTAGGTCTCAGCTGTTTACCGTTGATTCTTGGGTGAGGCTAAACCATCAAAGGACGAAGAGGTCTTGGCGGTCCTGTCCACCCCGCCGGAGGAGGTCCTTGAGGCGAGAGTGACATATCCTACCACTCTGTCCCACGTCACCGAGGCGAACTCGCTCATTGCGTCGGTCTCCAACACCAACCCTCAGACGTGGCTCAAGACTTTGACCGAGTGAGTCGTGCATTAATACTACGGAGTTCTACGAATCCACCTCTGATAATCTCTAGCTTCTACAACCGCTACTACCGTTCCACCTACGGTACTCAGGCCGCCACCTGGTTGTTCAACCAGGTCAAGACTATTGCGGCGGCCAACTCGGCCATCACTGTCACGCAATTCACTCACTCCTTCAGCCAGCCTTCCATCATTGTCAAGATTCCCGGAACCAGCTCCGACCTGGGTATGCCGAACCATCCATTCCCAGCCCTCTTCTCCAAGTGCTAATTGCTTCCGTCAGTCATTGTCGGTGCCCACTTCGACTCCACCGGAGGATCCTCCACCGCCCGCGGACCCGGTGCCGACGACAACGGGTCCGGTGTCGTCGTCATCCTCGAGGCCCTCCGCGTTCTCGCCAACGCCGGCTTCAAGCCCAAGAACACTCTAGAGTTCCACTTCTACGCCGGCGAGGAGGGCGGCCTTCTCGGCTCCCAAGCTGTCTTTGCCAACTACAAGTCCGCTAGAAAGACGGTGCTTGGCTTCGTTAACCAGGACATGGCTGGCTATTCTCCCTCGGGCAAGATCTCGGTCTACAACGACTACGGTACACTTAAAATCCATCGCATGAACGGAAGTGGCAGCATCGCTAACCTCTGACAGTTGATTCCGCCCTTACCAGCTACGTCCGCCTCATTGGAACTCAGTACACCGGCAGCACGCCCACCAGCGACACCTGCGGATACGGGTGCTCTGACCACGCCAGCGCTCGCTCCAACGGTTTCCGTGAGTTGTCTCCCATCTTTTGGACAAATTGTGACTTGACATCTAACGTGCTTCTACAGCTGCTGCCTATGTCTGTGATGAGCCCATTGATACCTCCACCCCCTACATCCACAGCCCCAACGACGTAAGGTCTCGCTCCTGTTTTATTTGAGTAACGGGTTACTGACTTGGCATACAACAGAGCTACAACACCATCCAGTGGTCTGCTGTCCTTCGCCACTCCAAGTTCACCGTCGGTTTCTTGGTTGAGGCTTCTTACTTGTAATCCTTGTTAACATCCAAATAATCGGGATGAACTTCGTGTATATACGTCTCGACTGACATGCAAATACACCACATTCAAGAATCTATAAAGTTCCAGCCTTTTGAAACTAGGGCAAAGCTAAAACTATGTTTCCTTCGTGAACCCTATAGTCTCCGCGCAAAACTGCCCTACTGGGAAGAGTTTCCCGAGGAGATCCAACCAAGCTAGTACCCCAACCCATCTCCGTCCATCGGACGTGGAGACAGATGCAGACTTTCTGAAAGCGATTCTAGACCGACTCGACGCAGGGCGAACATGTACTAAGCTTAGGGCGTGGGACCCCACTTTCTGCCACGTCTAGGGGACACAAGGGTCGCAAGGCGTGATCGGCATGTGTGAATGACTCTTACTAGAAGCCGTCTTCGGCAGGCCTCCCGGGCTGACGGCCTAGCATCCCGAGATACGACTGTAGAGGAGGAAATTTGATCACTCCCTCGTCTTAATTTTCTCTCGGGCACAGGTACTCATCACTCAAGCTATTATATGTACAGTTTCCATGTCACAATGGGCGCTTCAGAGGAACAAGATCGAGTGGCCGTGACCAACTCCCCCGATGCGCCCGGCGCCATCGAGCTGAGTGCAATGCATAGTCCTACCACGAGCTCCCGCCATCGCGACCCCGAATCCAGCCCGCTAGCATGGCTCTGTGTTTTAGGGTCTTTCATGTTTCTATATCCATCATACGGTGAGCGTTCCGGACAACAGTCTAGTGTCTCTGATTCTGGGCTCATGGTTTACGATAGGATTCATGCAATCTGTTGGAACGGTCCAGTCATACCTTCAGCTACACCAGCTGAGTGAGTACTCTACCCGAGATCTAGGTTGGATCAGCGGCATCTTCACCTCGCTTTCATTGTTCCTCGGAATACAGGCCGGGCCGTTGATGGACGCCTATGGAACGAAGTTTCTGGCCCCCATTTCTGTAGCACTCTATGTCCCTGTATTCTTCATCATGGGCGAATGCACACAATATTGGCACTTCATTCTCTGCCTGGGAGTGCTGGGTGGTATCGGCGGCGCTCTCACCTCGACCGTTGCGGTGGCAGCCATTGGGAAGCTCTTTAATCGTCGCAAGGGACTTGCCATGGGTGTCGCACTATCCGGATCCTCGTTTGGAGGTGTCACCATCTCGATGATGCTTCGATCTATACTACCTAGACTGGGTTGGCAGTGGTCCATGAGGATCATGGGCTTCCTAGTCCTCGGTATCCTAGTAGTGGGTGTCGCATGCTTTCTTCCGTACCCCCGCTTATCCACCCCCGTTTCTGGAGCACCCGTAGGGAGAGTAGGGGCTATGCTCAACTTCTCGGCCTTTCGATCCCCACCATTTGGCTTCATGGCCGGGGGCCTCTTTATGCTAGAGTTTGTTCTCTTTGGCATAACCGGTCTACTCCCTACTTTTGCCATTGCCGCTGGCTTCCCTTCCAACATTGGATTCTCCCTCGTAGCCATCCTGAATGGCACCTCATGCTTTGGTCGCATCATGACCGGCGTAATCGGTGATAGGCTGGGACACCTCAATATCCTTCTGATAATGATAGGAATAACCATCGTGTTTACTGGGGTTGTTTTCGTGCCCTTTGGAACCAAGCATATCGGCGCCTTGTACGCGTTTACCGCTCTTTGGGGCTATGGATCTGGATCCTTTCTTTCAAGCACACCAGGTAAGAGCTTACGGTGTTTTCCTCATACAAGCGAATACCATGGCTAATAAGACTTAGTCTGTTTAGGAAAGACTTGCGAGCCAAAGGATTACGGGAGATATCTTGGTAAGCAATGACTTTCCGCCGGACCGCCTCTGCAACCTACTTTACCAACTAACAATTCAACTTTAAGGCACGATGTACTTTGTGGTCAGTTTCTCACTGCTGGTAACTGTACCCATCGGTGGGCAGATGCTTGAGAGTATGGGTGGGACAGCGCTCTCGGGGTTTTATCTCGCCATTCTCTTTCTGGGTGGCGTTTGTTACTTTGCTGCTCGCTCCCTTCTTCTAGGCGGATGGCTCACCTTTAGAGCTAGGATCTAGAGGTGATTGATATAGCGCAGCTGTGATTTCGAGACAAGCTTGCTGGCCTCAACTTTGGATATTTGACGGCTATGGGTATGAGAACTTGATGAGTTGATAACTGAGGCGCTTGTCTGATAGACGTGGCTTGTTTCTACTACAGGTTGATTTGCCGACGGGGAAAATTAAAATGAGTTGGAGTGGAGAAGGGAAAACTGCATATGACTGCGAATGACAATTATTATCTGATGAGACAATGACTTAATACTAGTATCCCGTAGAAAATCGGGTATGGCTTAGGCATAAGTAAGTCTGTCGTCCACATTGACAAGATTGAAAACATTGCTAGGCGAAGGGGTAGGGGTGTTAAGCTAGAACATGCGTGACGACGTAGCACAACCTATTGCAGTCATAGACAAGCCGACCCGCATCTTTGGATTGAGGATCGGAATGACAACCGGAGAATCAGCGATCCTCTCGACAATTCCTTACTTTTGCGGAACGGTAACGGAAGAAGATCTCCACTTTTGAGGCTCCAACTACCCTTCGGGGATATTGATGCACGCCGTCCGGTGCGGGGGTGTGCTATCACTCCGAATCATCAGCTTATCAACCCCGAGATAGTCACATGTGCCGCTCTCAGCGCCAGGCGAAGTTTAAAATACTGGCTATTGCCTCAAACAATCCACCTTGAAGTCTGATTATCGTCGCTTGCTTCTGCTACGGGCTACTTGCTATTCAAATCCATTCTCATCATCCAGCTTGCTGCTTGCCTATCCAACCTGGATTAACTATGGGGGACAATGATATGACGCGGAAACCGCATCCGCTGGATCCTCTGCAGCCAGCAGAAATCAGCCAGGTGAGTTGACTGAGAACCAGGCCAATTATCTGGCATAGAATTCTTTGAAGCAGACTGGATGATTGCATCCTGTTCATGTTGTAACACAATGTAGGCCGCTGAAATTGTCCGAGGATCGAACCAGAATCAAGAGATATTCTTTCGAGCCATCTCTCTCGCTGAGCCGCCAAAGACAGAACTGGTGAGGTTCCTTGAGAGCGAGCATACCGGTAGCAAAGACGCCGTCTATCCAGTAAGACAGGCTAGAGTCCAGGCTTACATCACCCAAATTCTGCATGAAATGGTCGTCAACTTGACCACGGCGACGGTCGCGTCTACCACTCCTCTTCCTGGTCGTCATTCTTTCATCGACACCGACTTCATGACCCAAGTTGCTGCGGCTTGTTTGGCAGATAAAAAGGTTCAACGCGAGATCAGTGCCCTCAAACTGCCAGAGGGTGCAACTGTTGTCGTTGAGCCTTGGGCATATGCCACGGATGGTATGAAGGATATGAAAGACCGCTGGACTATGGTGAGACCACTACTCTGCCTCTGATACTTGGTGGCCTAATGACTCTAGGCCTGGTTTTACATGCGACTCTCTGACAACCCCGACGCAAACTACTATGCGTACCCGTTGGACATATGTGCCGAGGTGTCCAACTCCCTAGAGATCATCAGAATCTATCGATTGCCTTCTGGAGAGCACGATCATCTCAGTGATGAGGGCAAGGAATTTGATTACCGAAAAGTCCATACCACCAGCGAGTATCATCCCGATTTTGTTCAAGAGCGCAGAACAACTACGAAACCGTATCAAGTCTCCCAGCCCGAGGGTCCGTCGTTTCGCATCGACGAAAACCATATTTCATGGGAAAAGTGGACAATGAGAGTCGGATTCAACTATAGGGAGGGCATGACCCTTCATGATATCCGTTTCGACGGCCGAAGCTTATTTCATCGACTGTCTCTGGCCGAGATGTTTGTGCCTTACGGTGATCCCCGATGCCCCTATCCTCGAAAAGCCGCCTTCGATTTGGGGAATGACGGCGCTGGTATCAACGCCAATAACCTTAAGCTGGGGTGCGATTGTCTTGGGCACATCAAGTATTTTGACGGCTGGCTCAGTACCTCATCGGGGGAACCTTTGAAGATGCCAAACGTCATTTGCTGCCATGAGATTGATGATGGGATTCTGTGGAAACATACAAACTTTCGGACTGGGAATGCTGTCGTCACGAGATCGAGAGTTCTCGTGCTGCAAACTATCATCACGGTCAGCAACTACGAGTACATCTTCCTTTTCTACTTTCAACAGGACGGTTCCGTCTTCTATGAAGTCCGCGCCACGGGTATCATGTCGACAGCGCCCATTGACCTCGACACCAAGGTTCCATGGGGCACCATTGTCGCTCCTGGGGTTTTGGCACCTTACCATCAACACATTTTCTGCTTGAGGATTGACGCTGCCGTCGACGGGTCTCGAAACTCCTTGGTTGTCGAAGAGTCTCACCCAGTTCCGTCCACCGGAGACTCTGACACATATAACCCCTTTGGCGTTGGGTACACCACCAAATCAAAAGTAATTGATAGAGAAGTCGGCTTAGATTTAGATTTCAACACCAACCGAACTTTCAAGATCGTCAACGAGAATGTCATCAACTCAACAACGGGAACCGCGGTCGGTTTCAAGCTACTACCTCATTATAGTCAGCTTCTTCTGGCGCAGCCAAACTCTTGGCATGGTAAGCGTGCAAGATATACATCTCACGCTGTTTGGGTGACGCGGCACCACGATGAGGAGCTTTTTCCAGCGGGAAAGTTCACCATGCAGTCAACCGGAGACGATGGCATTGAGTCCTGGATTCAACAGCGCGAAAATAACGAATCTTCTTCAGTGCGCAACGAAGACATTGTAATCTGGCACACGTTTGGGTCGACGCACAACCCGCGTATCGAGGATTGGCCGGTGATGCCGTGCGAGAAAATGATGATTGGACTAAAACCAGTCAATTTCTTCCAGGGTAACCCTGCTCTTGACGTACAAATTTCGACGCAGGAGAAGAACCGTAGTGTGCTGGTGCACGGTGGCAGTACGGAAGATTAGATTTGGACAGATTGAAATGTGACTGCCGCCTAGAGCAACGCTTATAAAAAAATACCATCTCGGAAGGGAAACTGCAGCCTTCATCAACCTAGAGATTGGTCTTGCCACGTTTCATGGACCTTTCGGGGTTAACCAGTCGCGGCGCGCCGAGTCGGATTCCATGTAATTTCGAACTTCTTTACGAATACTTTGCAAAGAGTGGTCTGACTGTACGACAATCTTATATTTATTTTTTCTATACGTCCTCGTATCTCGCGTTAGGATTTGGTCGATGTCCCGACAGCGTTGATGTCCCGACCACGCTGTCCATGTGAGCAAGTTCGGAAGTGGACACAAAACTCAAAGATAGGCAACAATGTGATTACCAACTCACTCGGCAAACTAGCGCATAGAGGTAAGTTTGAACCTACCAAGTTGCTCAGGAATGCACTGATCAACACCTAGCGGCGTCACTGCTAACATGCCATCAGGTGCTATTTGCGACTCGGAATTTCATTCTTGGCAGGGGTTACGTATGACAAAGGGTGCAAGCGCTCCCAAGGGGAAATTGACACACAAACCCCTTAATCCTGAAGGCTTGGAAAAGGCTTGGAGCTACAAGCATCCTGATTACTGATTTTTTCCATTCCACACTCCATGAATTCGGCTTTCAAGTCACTTTGTATGGTTGATACAGTAGTACAAACTTTGGCCATCGAGACCGAACATATTCCAGGGACACGCGCTTACAGTTCAGTAAGATCACCAAACAGCCAGACACATGTTTATGATGCGCTCAGACCATTTACTTCCGAGGAAGAGTCCTACAAAGTATCGCCGTACCTTCTATGTCCCTTCAACTACTCGAACCAATCCCGAACTTGCTGCTACGCCTCACTGGTTTCTCTGAATCCAAGTGCCCCTTATCAGACTCCTTATCCGTCATAACCGAATTCGAATCATTGTACGAAACACGAACCTTAGTCAATCCTTAGCGTTTTCAAATCACAGAATCGTTCTTTGTCTTGTTTCTTACATTTGTCGTTTTGATGATGCCGTTGTAGGTCATAATCTCCTCTTCGCTCCCGTCTGGCGAGTGACCTCTGATTTCGGTGTGGGTGCTCCGCATGTCCTTCAACGGGAATCCGTTGCTGACAGTGCTCCTGTTCAGTCGACCGGTTCCCGCGCCGTTCCCGGTGCCGGTACCGTGGTGAGCATATTGGCTGCTGTTGTACCCCGCGTTGTCGGCACTGCTCTTGTTCGAAAAAATCCCCGGCATCCATTTGCGGAAAAGGGGTCGTAAAGCTGGGACGCAGGCGGCGATGATGGAGAGGTTGACTTCGATTGCGCTGTACGTGTCGCCTATGCCGTCTCGGGGGTCGTAGCCCGGGGATATGTTGTAGAACTTCTTGCGGAGTTCGTGGACACGCAGGATCGCCACAATGATGGACCTTTCTCAAAGTCAGCATCAGGTGTTTTGTAGGCCATGGCCTTTTAGGCCCATAAAAGGCTCTCATGTGCTATGACTTACACTCCGCCTGCCAGAAATACCACTATTAATCCAATCTTGGCGGCCATGCGCATCTTCAACCCGAGAAAGATCCAAAACGGGATGGCGAGAACGAAGAAATCGGTAACGATGGTGATAATGGCGCTGATGATGTAGAACAGCGGCCCGTCTATTTCTCTGTGCTTGGGAATGGTCGAATCCCAAAAGGCATTGATGGGCAGGGTCTGGAACAATACGACCAGGAAAATGGCCACCATCGTTGCCAGATTGATGGTATTGAGGCCGTAGATGGCCCATCGCACACCACGCTTGTGCCCACCCAGGCGCAGCAAGAAGACCAGAATCGATGATTTTACCAGCGCGAGGATGGGATTGTAGAGAACTTGCATGATCCAGTTCCAGAAAAGCATGGGGGCGGGGTCCCAGTCTTTGGGCAACGCCGAGGTAGGAAAGCCAGCGTAGTAGTACTTGAAGAACATGTATGTCGGACCAAGTAAAGCCATTGAAAAGAACTACCAAGTTGATTTTAGCCGGTGGGGCGACATCAGAGGTTGCCATCGGCACTCTGCCGGTGAAGGTCTTACCATAGCTCCGGTCATGAACCAGTCATCTGATGAATTGGTCAGATGAAAATTCGAGGAGAAAGGCTAAGGTTGGACTACTTACCAAGTCCAATTTGTTTTGATGTCCATTTGCTGTACATTCTCAAGGCGTACGTCAAGAATGCAGTCAAGGTGAACAAGAACAGAATCGCCATGATCACCTTTTGCAAAGGCGTTGAAGGTAAGTCCTCGACATTAGCCCATCGAGCCTGAACGGCCCGCTGAGCGACGAGTTCCATGCTCGGCACTCGTCACAAATTCGAAGAAGGAGTGAAATGAAGCTGCACCGATGGGAAGAAGGGTAAAGTTCAAACCGCCAAAGTCTGCCAAAGTCTTGGCACCAAAGTTATTCTCGAAATCCTGGAGGCAGAAGAGCGAGCCGGGGCAGAGGTCGAACAAAAGAATCGGGGGTCAGGTGGCGGAATGGGCCCGTGGGAAAGTTTGCGAGATATATACAAGGTGTCGGGGTCTCGAGTTTTCTGCTTGGAAGCTCAAAGAACCATACCTCGTATCTGCTCCTTTGATGAGGGGAACATTCACCAGTTCGAAATCGATCTCTGCAACACCGGGTCAGTGTTCTTCAGCATATTTACTTGCCATTTCATCCGGAGTAGGAGAGAGCCATGCAGCTAGTTCTGATCTTACGCTGAACACTTGCAGGGAAACAAGTTGACACCCATCTAGGTCTACCGTCTAGAAGGACATTTTGTTCTTGAGGAAGAGGAAGTAATCAGAATTCGATCCTGTCTAGTGCTTCACAAACCGTGAAAGACCTGCATCCTCTACGACCCCGTTTCATGGTAAGGCTGGGGTTGAGACGGACTAGTCTCACAAGTTCCCGGCTAGTGATTTCCACGAATGGTGAGAGAACAGGGCAGGAGGAAGCTTGGGGGTTGCCGCAGTAAACTTTGTGAAGTTCTTCAAATCTCCGTCGGTTGAGTAGCATCGTTGCATCCCTGTACGGAGGACACAAGCCGCGAGCGAGCTGATTCGGGGTCGTTCCTCCGCTAGCAGGAGATATTGAGGTTTTGTGCTCGCCGGTCTACCACTTACCAAGCAATGGATGTTTCGTCAGAGGCAAGCGCTCTGCGTGCCCGAGGCTTGGCTTAGGGAAGAAAGTTGGAAAATCAGACTTGTGAGTGGTTGATGCTGCGATGGCGTACGAGACGATGCCGGGGACCTGTCAAGGATGGCGAGTTCTCGAACACTGCAGGCCATCAGCTATTGGGTCCCTGCACTTGTCTTTTGCCTGTAGACAAGGGTTGCTACGAGCTATTTCAGATAACTTGAAAGCTTAATAACGCCAATCCAGACAGAACCCGACTTCTTCGCGTTGTTCGGGCTACCTATACGCCATGCAAGCGAGATTGTTCGGTGCTATTTACGAGATCCCGTCGGGTAGAAATCAAGTCACAGTGAGTGAGAGGTGGTGAAATTGAAAAACAGAACGTAGAGTCACATCACAGAGTATTTGCGAAAAAGCAAATAAGCCTCGTATAACAAGCTGCAAAGGATTATCAGTTGCGATATTAAAACGTCGCTTACATCCCCCTTCAGAGGAGAAAACCCCTCCTTGCAAGACAACGTCGTCTTCTGTTTTGTTCATTACCATGGCGAAGGCAATCGACCCTGGCCCAGTATATATCTGGGCTAAGTGCTGTTGTCAACCGACCGTGGTCTGGCCCAACACATCAAATATCACATTTCTGCAAAAGCCCACTGGATAGAGGGCTGCTGTAAGGTCTTGAGGCGGCAAGCGGATTGGTTCGCTTCGCACGGCAGTAGAATCTGAATAAGGCGCCATCGTGGTGTCCGCAACATGGGGCTGGTGAATGAGATACAGGATTATAGTTCATTTTTGTTACGCGGCCTGCTGTAAATACGACGTTCCCCTCTTCTTCATCGCTTTGCCCTAGGAAGTTTTTCAAGGAACAACTTCAGGCCACCACCGTTAGATGAGTAAGGTGGAGCTGGAATACTCGCTGAGCACTAGCGGATTAGTGCGAATGAATCCTAGAACATCAGCGACTCGGATTGAGTCCTGGGGCCCTTGGCGACGAGTAGTGATTTCTGATTGCAACCGCGGCAGGGTTCAGGAAGAACAAAGTTTGCGGTGCCGCGTTAGCGCAGTACGAATTTGCAGGCAATCATGCGGAGAGGTAACCCCCCTAAGAAGGCAAATATCCCCTCATGAACTCGCTCTTTTACTCGGCACACTGTACATAGATGCTGTCTTCCTGTGGCATCTGTACATTCCATGGGTTGCAATGAGGAACTCGTTTGGGGTCATGAAAAAAGTCGTACGATTCTCCATGACTCGTCTCGCCATCGAGGCTGGAAATGTCTTTGATGGATGTGATGGATCCGATCAATCCAGATCAACCCTTCAACGTGCCGGCAGATTTGATCTTAGTCGACGAGTTATGCTCCCAGACATTAACCAGATCGCAAAGATAAGCTCAGCGTCTTACCCATAGGCACGGCTCGCTATCCGCGTCCTTTATTATGTGGATAAGGGGCAGTTTATGCGCAAATCCCTTAGTCTTAACCACCGTGCCACCTAACCCCAAGGTCTTTCTTCGGAGATCCCTGGGTTCTCCAGAGTAGATTCACTGACGCGAGTGACCGAGAATTCTTAGCTGAAAAGGTACGCGGCGGAGCGGCGGTACTCGAAGAAAGGGGCAAAGCGTACAGAAGGTTCACCGGGGAGGGCGGCATATTCTTCCATCTGAATGATCTCCAGCTCCCTACGGTAGAAGGACCTACTTTCATGGTCCTGGACTCTGGAGGCATCAGCAAGCCTGCTATTTGCTCAGCTTTGCAATGCTGGTGGTTGCCTATGTCGCGCCATTGTAACCCCGGGTGCGGGGGTTTGCGACCTCTCGCTACCAGCGTTGCTCTAGTCCACTCCGTCCTAATGCATCGGTCCAAACAGAAGTCCACGTCTATGTATACAAGCGAACCCGGGCCCCCGGTGCAATCCTGCCCGGGGGCGGGCCCAATGTGTGAAAGCGGAAGTTCGCTTAGTAGGTAGGTTGAGTTGGGTTTGATCCCTGTCAGCCTCAACTGCATGTGGTGTTCTAGCCGGACGGGCTTACTTGTCAACGTCCCTGCTTCGTCCAAATGTCCCTTTCTCCTTCATTCTCCTAATTTGGTAAGATGTCATGGCATCGGCCGCTATTGAGCGTAGTCTCCGCCTCGACTGTAATGACCCCCGGGTTGCAGCGGGCATAGGTAAAGTAGGCAGCATCAACCGTGAACTATTGACAACGGGCAGGCGGCAGTCAATGACTCGCTTGTGTTTGCTCTTTTGTTTGTTTGTTTGATTGTTGAACGCCCGTCCCACCGGTAAGGGTAAAGGACGCCTACATCGGCATGTGTGTGAGGAACGATGGCAAGATGCAACACTTCCACGTGGATGTTATAAATCCGTGTGTCCGTATTACTGCTCTCTCTGCTCGCTCGCATCTCTCCCGCCGCACCGCCAGCCACAAACCGGTGATCAAACACAAGAGGTTCCTGTCTGACAAGTACGTAAACCTGTTCTTGTCGCGCCTCTGTCCAATCTCTTTTCAGTCCGAAGTTCTGAATCCCCCCCCCATTCCGTGAGCAGATGTGCGGAGCTATGATCGAGTGGCTCAGCGACATATCGGGTTGCAGTGTCGGAACAGACCACACTATTCTGCTAAACACGGTCTGCCAGGAGATGATGAAACCTTGGAGGAAGG